TACCCAACAGCATAAAATATAGCTATGTAAATCTTATCTTGGAGCCATCAACGATCTTAGTAACATGGAAATCATACATAGAAAAATGATTTGCATCTGACAGTGCTTATGATCACCTATATGGAGATGGAGAAACAGCACCTTTAATCCTTAAATCGAAGATAGAAGATATCATTGCAACACTAAAAAACAATAAGTCAGCAGGTCCGGACAATGTATCCTGCAAAATAATAAAGATCCTATGTAAATCAGACAAACAGTTTCTTGATAATCTAGTTGTATTTTTTAACAACAATATAATAGCGGTAAAATCTGGGAGAACTGGCTGCAGTCAACATGGATTACAATCCTGAAGAAACCAAATGCCCAAATGTGATGAGTACTACTGGCTTATAAGCTTGATTAATCATGTCACTAAAGCGTTCACTAAGATCATTCATAGAAGAATATATGATAAATGTGAGTCAAATATTGATAGATCGCAGTTTGGTTTTCGGAAAGCATTTGGAACTAGAGAAGCAGTTTTTGCTCTGAGACGTTGATAAGGACGTGTATTTATGCTTTGTGGATTTTAGATAAGCATTTGACATTCGAATTGTGGGGTCAAACAGCAAGAGCAAAAATTGGTAAATAACTCACTGGAAGTGTGCAGATCAAAAGAGGTGTCCGTCAAGGGTGTATATTATCCCCACACGTAGGGGTATTAATTACAACAAGTAATGGAAAGGGTTTATTCAGTTAGTGAGGAATACGGTCTGAGCCTCAACTTTAAGAAGACAAAGAGGCTGATAAGCAAAAAGCAACAACCTGGTCGACAATTGCGGATAAGTAACATACTAATTGACCACGTAGAATCTTATGTGTACCTTGGCACCAACGTAAATTCAAAATGGAAACAGGCCACAGAAATTAAGGCGAGAATAGAACGAGCTATAGCAGCATTTAACAATATGAAAAAGCTCCTCATAAGCAAGGATTTGTCTCTTTCCCTAAAACTACGTCTCCTCCCTATGAGTGCCCATAGTTTACCAAAATTCCGTCAGTATTTCCATAGCACCATGAATCCAATATCCACCACTAAAGTCATGGCTCAAGTAGCAATTAATGATTGTTAATGTAGAATTCTGATCGACTGTCACTGTCTACTGCTTAGATTATATCCTAGGGCCATTTCGTCTATAAATATATGCTGTAGGTCCACCCCTTGAATGTTTATGCGATCATCGGGGATTTTTATTTGTGTTCAACTGGGTCAGCCGCTCAGCCATTTTGATAGTGGTGTGGATAGGTGCCTTTAAATACCCAGCTACTACCGTTTCTACCCCTTTACTGGTTGTGAGTAGTGTGATGTTTCTCGTCTAGACTATGCAATTTGAGCATCTTGCACTGAGTAATTTATCACAGGACAAGTGCTGTTTTTGATTCAACTGTAGAGCTCATCTAATATACAGTGCGGTCTAATATCCATGTAAATTATAGAGGCCAGTAAGCACACCATTTGCGTGTTTGTTTACCGTATACATATTTCTCTATTTTTTATGGATAGTTCAAAGTAAAGGAGTGTATTAGAATCTACGATTATTAAATTCCTTGGGGCGGGTAACGAGAATACCACGCTCTCCTCCATTTTCAGCAGGATACCTGTAATCTTTAGCATTTGGTATTTGTTCTTAGTCTTCTCGCTATGAGGTACTTCATTGCTGTTATGTATTGTCATCTGTATTGACTTCGTTGTCGATTATGGGCTGTGGCTATTCCTATACCTTGAGGTAGGAACTGCCTTGCCTTTACTATCGCCTTCGCGATTTGTTCTTGCTTTATTATTTCTATAAAATGCCTGTAGTTGTACTGAAAATTCTATATACCTTCGTAAATTTATATGAATTCATGTATGAATTGCATCACTTATTGAGCAATCGTTTGTTCTAAATATAATGTTTTCTTTTTGTTATATCTCCTTTTTTTTTGCAATACTTTTAGTTCTCTATTAATGCATTTTTCACTTTGTACATTGGTGTCAATCTGCAGCTTCTTCATCAAAACAATATTTTCATTGCATTTATATTATTTTCTGTTCTTTTATTTGTCATCCACATTTCCAAACCATACACTGAGCACCTTCTCACTGCTGTTTAAAAATGTGTTATTTAGTTTTGCTTGTAATATCTTGATATAATAAGTGCAGTTGTTGTATTTTCTTTCTTTATTTTATTTATTATATCTGTTTTAACTGATCCTGTATGTGTTAAAGTTACCCCAAGTATTTATTCATGAATCTACTTAAAAAAAATTTAACGTATGTCGAGAAATTAATACACACATATGTCGAATGATTTGTGACAAGTCGACATCTAAAGTTTTGTAAATACGCAAATGGGAATCTAAATAGCGTTTGGATATGACGAAAAGGGCTTAAGGTACAAAGCGTTTTAGGCTTTAAAATTATATGTTGGCATCAAAGCGTATACACCCTTCAAAGAGAAATAAAGCGACTGACAAATTAAGCAATAGGGATGGGTCGTGCTTCATATTATCTGGAAGTACAATCGAAACGAGCGAATAATTATCCACAGGGAACCAAAATTCTAATTTCAGCTTTGTATTTTGTTTATTTCCAACGTTCGAAAAATTAAAGAACGTAGCCGTCTTTCATCCAATTTGATGATCACTATTGAATGCGTTCCAAATTTATATAAAGGTCCCGTGAAAATTTAAATACCTACTGCATCATATTTTGCACAACTATTGTCAGTTTTCACTATTTCGAAGAGTGATTTCATCGTTTGAAGGCGGAAAAGTGGGGAAAACGTATGAAAATCCAATGGCGTACATTAACTTTTATTTCAACGTTAATTACAGTTTATTTTTTAAAGCTCGGAAAGCTTAAGAAGGTGAAACACCGATGGCTCTGCTTATTGTTTACAGTGACTGTGATTGCTTAGCCTCTAATTTAACTTAAAGCCCTAGAGCCCTAAAACCTCTAGTTGGATTTCTTCGTTGTTTATGAGTGCCCGTCGGTTATGTTTTTTATTGCAAACTCGCCCTGTTACTCTAAATTTCCGCAATTCAATCACATATTTATGAGTTGCATGTCTATTATGTTGCGCAAGTATTACTGTTGTAGTATAAACCTACAATTTCGATTCTTCCTTGCAAAGTACAAACAAAGAAAAATTGTCTATAATATATCTCATAAATTAATCACTTCAAGCCGAATGTATTATACACTTTTGAAATCAGTACAAAAAGTAGAATTCAAATATGAAATAAAAAAAGGGTGAAGTAATTTAAAGAAAAATAAGGAGATGATACGGTGGTAAGGGGGTGCTTTTCCTAGGAAGTTTAAATATGACCTAATGTTAACCCCTTCAAATATTAATTGATGTGTTTTTATATTTTTCTAAAAATTCGAATTTTAAAAGTTATATAAGCTCGATAGTGTTATCTGAAAAGCACTGTATACATAAAGAGAATAATAACTTTTATATTAAACTTTTTATAATAAAAAGGGTGTGTAATTCATCCGAGGTACCGCAAACGTTCGGATATAATAAACGACGCTTTTTAAAGAAAACAAGTATGACTTCGATTAGTAACAGACACACAGTTATATCATGTACCCTTATACAATTAGCTCATTGCTCCGGTACAAAATCACCAGCAACAAAGTACAGTAAAAGATCTCTAGAAACATGCCAGAATTAAGGCTAAAAGGCCTATGAAAATAGTTTGATTTCACACCTGCAGAAATATTTTCAAAACTACAATTGCCATTTGTATATCCAATTTTTGAAAGAGGACGTAATGATAACAAGAAGAAGGACAATTATTTTATTAGAATTTTTTCAGAAAGTAGTGATGTGGCGAAAATTGAAGACACTCTATTTATGAAAATCAGGTTTGTAAAGTTTATATTACAGAGCTATTAGAGCCTTAACAAGTCTTTATTTATTGTACAGCGCCATCTTGCCAGAATATTATACATTAGTTAATTTAAAATGAAAAAAAAATCTTTAAAATATTTTTACGGTTGATTAATTACGTTGTTGTTAAGTACAGCTATTCAAATTTAGGTCAGTCTCCATGTTCTGTATCTGGGTCTGAAGTGTCCGTATTTTAAAAGATTGATAGGTTCACTTTATTTTAATGAGCTTTCATGCTACAGTGAAGTTGTAATTCATCTAATTATTTCTAAAATAAAATTCAAATGAACTAGTTGCTAACTTAAAATATAAAGTAATTAAATAGTATTTAATAATGAAATTCTTGATAAATAAAACAGTAATTTAAGCGAACAGTGTAGTTTGGTAATTTTTTATGAATTTAAAAATTTAAAGAAAATGTCAGATTGATGTTAACTTAATTACTATTTAAATGAGAATAAGCCACAATTAAAGGTTAAAGTAAGTTTATAGACGTTTTAATTTCCACTTCGGAAATCGTTCTTAAAATACAAACATTAGTTTTCTTCCATTAGAACATCTAGTCGGTGGTTCTCCTCGGCTTCTTTTATAGTTTCTGGGCCTCCATTCCATAATACGTCTTGTCCACCGGCCATCTTGTGTTCTGGCTAAGTGCCCTGCCCAGTTCCACTTAAGCATCGTAGTTCTTTCGATGACGTCTTGAACTCCTGATCTTTGCCTGATTTGTTGGTTTATGTGGTCTCGAAGGCTCACGTTCAGCATTACACGTTCCATGGCTCGTTGTGTGACTCTAAATCTATTCGCAGATTTTTGCGTAAAAATGTGCAGATGATCTACAAATAAGAACTACAAGAGTATTTACTTATATATGATTTCTTGTTACAGGGTCAAGTGATAGTAATAGTCACAACTTCAATCTTGCCTCCCCTCCAAAAAAGTCTGGAATGATGAACCGCCAAATGTACCAATCATCAAAGAGCGACTCTCTTAATTCCACGAAGTCTAGTTTAGAATATTCCTCTACTACTAAGCATCCCACAGGAGCCTATCAAGATATAGAGTACAAAGTCTGTCATTCTCTAGACTCGGATACCCAATCCCAAACGACGTCAAGTTACAGAGAATCTTCAACCAGCGTTAGTTCAAGACATTCCTCTTTTAAAGAAAAAAGAAAACCTAGGTGCAATATCAGAACAAATCCTGGATATGATGACCGGTACTCATCGTGTAAATCCATCAATGAGTACGAAGGAAGTACAAAGTCTTTAAAGAGGTAACAAATGAAGAAAGTATTTTAAAGTTTTGTTCGGATTTTTCACGTAAATATTAACAATTATAATAAAAATAATTAATAAATTTTAATCTTCTTTTCGCTCTCAGTAAAGTGTAGTGTCTTTATACCTAGATGGCTCGGATCACAGTTCTCCATCCTTTTCTTCTTCTCCTTCTTCCGCTTCATAAGCAATTCTGCTTGTTCATTGGCGGATTAATACCTCTACAAGGTGTCGAGATACTCTTCTGACAAACGAAGGCCGAAGATTTACCAGATAATTAATAGACAGTTTAATCCAATTCACCTAGTTCGAAAATACTTTCTAAAGGAGCTAGAGCTCTTTGAAGATAGCGCCTAGATTGTTGGCTAGAGCTCCACTGGTTGGTATGCATCTAGCTTAGCTGTCAATCTATTTGTTATTATTTGGGTTAGTAGTTTGTAAAGGTGTGACAATAAGCTTATTGGTCGGTAGTTTTCTATATTTGCGGCGTCCCCTTTTTATGTAGTAGACTTCCGCATTTTTCCATGCTTTTGGTATTTGTCCTTTCAATAGGAATTTATTCAGTAATGCCTCTTCTAATGTAGTACCTCCCATTTTTAGCATCTTTGAAGTAATTTTATCTTCTCCTGGTGTTTTCACATTTTTCATTTGTTTTAGGGCGGCTCTAATTTCTGACGTTATTGTTTCAGGGAGATCCTCTGATCCCAAATTTAAGATATGTTTTGTTGGTACACCGGGGTTCGGAATAGTAGAAGTATACAGCTTTTCATAAAATTTTCGGATTTCTCTAACGATCTCTTCCTTATGCGAGCACAATGTTCCACGGTCGTCTTATATCTTTATGATTTTATTCCTGCCAATGGATTTACATGTTTTTAATACTTTTATGTTCTTATTGTTTTCTATGGTTTCCAGAATCTGGTTTGTTCTATAAACTCTGAGGTCTTTTCGAATATTTTTCTTAACGCTTCTGTTGAGCGCTTTATAGTCCGGGTTATCTCTGTTCATTCTTCTTCTTTTCTCTATCTGTTCTAGAGTCTCGGGTTTTAGTTTAGCTTCTTTTTGTTTTTCTTTTATTCTGCAACATAGTTTCTTAGTGACTGTTTGTATATCTTTATTAAATAATCATATTAAAATAATACAATAAAAAATAGTAAGCTTAACTGCACGTTTACAGATGTGATTGCAGAAAGTCGACTTCTGATCTAACCGACATGACAGACGAGGTTGCCAACACCATGACAACGTCACTTAGTAGGCCCAGCTCTCCAAGACGAAAAGGTTCAGTTAAAGGAGGTCTAGCTTATCTGGCTTCCAGAAGAAGTTCTCGAGACTCTATCGCTTCCAATATGTCAAACGTATCTAACGAGGACATAGGACCTTTAAATTTTCAAAATACTGTTCGTGGTCGTCAAAGGAGAACTTCCAATTTTTTGGAACTACCTGGTAAGTGAATTTGATTAGATGATATTATAATACGGCATTGGAAAATATTACAGAACTTGGAGCCAGGATGCCAGAAAACCTTACAGTTTTCACATATTTTACTCACCTGTCACGTAAAAAACTTACGATACTATCCCGACATGGACAGTGTTTGGCCTACATTTAGTTTCCTTAATATTAACATCAAATTCTATTTATATATAAATGTGGACTTAAAACATAAATGATCTACAATGGAAAGTATCTTTCTAACGATTGCGAATCTGCAAATGAAACCACAAATTGTAAAACAATTTTTTATTTAATAAAATTAAGGACGCCGTTTGATATCATCGTTATTATCAGATTTATAACAAAAGAAACCAGCTAGAGTCTAATGTGAGAAAAACATAATGTTTCTTTGAGAAAACAAGCTTAGAAAAGTAGCAAACGACATAGAAAAAAGGTAGTTTTTCAAGTATCTTTCATGGATCAGATTCATTATACTCACATACAAAATATTTGACTGTTTTGAAGTTTTTTCTGCATAAATGTGTACTGAAAACTCTTCTCTTGCCATGAACTTCATGCAAAAACAACCAAGGTCAACAATTACCAATTTTCAGAAAATCAATATTAGTTTAAATTTCACGATGCAGAGTCTTTGTGTATCAAAGTCTGTGTCAAATACATTTATGCATGTTGATTTGTGAATTTTTCAGTAATTTTTGGATATCAAAGGTTATAACAAAGGTAGACTAAGCTTTGCAGATTTGATATAAAACAATAACCGAAACGCTTTTAATTAAGTTATCAAGATCGGAAGATTGGAGGCAGTATAAGGTTGACAACTATAAAAGCAATTAAGTTTCTACTAAATAAATGTATATTTATGTTACATTTGAAAGTTTCGCGGAAGGTATTTTTTTGGATTTGACTCCACGTTGAATAATTTTATTTTTGTGATTGCTTCTTGTGGTTGGTCCTGTTGGTCTTGTGGTCTGATGTATTTTTGGTTTTTTCTTTAATACCGTTTTCCATGTTGTTGAAAGCCTTTGAGTATCATCTCTTTGGTTTAGATTGTTAGGTTTTATGTTTATTTCTAATAATTCTCTTGTGGTAGCGGATAGATACTCTTGTACCATCCCGGTATAAGATGGGTATAAGTGGGGAGACGGTGCTAAGAATCCCCCAATGGCCACAAATATTTAGATTTAACCATGATAAGATTGGTACATGGGATGTACGAAGTTTATTCCAAGCCAGAAAAGTCTTCTTCTTCTTCTTAGTTTATAAATAGACTTAATGCCTGTTTTGCTACGGTTTTTAGCCTTAATTGACGTTGTCTAACCATCTTTTTCTCGGTCGTCCCAATGATCTTCTATTTGGCGATTTGTCTCTTGCAATTCGTACTATTCTATTTTCTGTCATTCTTTCGATGTGTTGATTCCATTCCACTTTTCTTCTTTTGGCCCATCCGTTTATTTCCTCCATTCTTCTTACTCTGTCTCTTAGAGTTTGGTTTGTTATTTTTCATAAGACTTTAATTTCTGGTGTTTCCAGCAGTCTTTGTGTTTTCGCCGTATCTGCTCTTTTTTACGCTGTGTACGTCATTATCGGTCTTATTGTTGGTTTATATATCCTGGTTTTCGTTTCCGTTGTGAGGTATTTGTTTCTCCAGATTGTGTTGTTGAGACATCCTGCTGTTCTGTTTCCCATGTTTACTTGTTTTTGTACTTCTTGCTATGATGCTATTTAATATGAGACGATCTTTTATGAAATGTATTGACGAATGAATTATAGAAAATTATGGACATTTCAAACACTTACTTTGAAACAAGTTTAATGTTATTTAGTTTATTTATTTCTTAATTTTGTATGTAAATAAAATGTTTTGAATATAACTTTAATTTAATATAAAACGTAAAATGTTTGATGTAAAATTAAATTATTCTGTTAGTTTTTCAAATCCTATTAATTAATTAATTAATTAAATAATTATCCTGCTGCTATATTTATTCTATTTAATATTTCGTTAACTATTAACTTTATTAAAGGTATTTTTTTACCAAAATTCAGAAGTATTAATGTTTTTGTCTATTTTTCTTTCGTTGCCTTGAGTAATTGCGTTAAATCAGAATTATGCAGTTGATTTGTAAAATGCGATTATCTGCTGTTTGCAGATTAGCGAAGATTTGCATTTTGTAAATAGATAGACTAAATATTTGGTTGTTTATTTTTGTCTTCCTCTCTTTTGACGGGTACAAATAATTATATAAGAAAAAACTTCACTAACGGATATTAAAATATTTGACGCAAAGTTTAAATTAGAAAGAAAAATATATTTTGTAAAGAAAAATTCGTTTAACTTAGTCAAACAGAACATAAATCTATTAAAAAGTGGGTTGTGGTTAAAAGTAAAATCAGAAAGGGAACTGTAGACAGAAACCAAACTCAAACAGCAACGGAAAAACAAATTTAAAAACTCATTATAGTTGTATTAGATGGCTTCGGCTATATGGAAAAGTTGATAAAATAATTTCTTGTGTTCCTTTAAACTTTGTATAAGGACTTAAAATGATCAACCCAGCAAGATTTTTTAAAAGAAAATGAAATATACAGTAATATGCATCGAATTAAAATTCCAAGTTATCGAGAACTATTGTAATTAAATCGGTGAGTGGATAAACGATATAACTCCAAAATCATGCATTTGAGATAACCTGAAAAACTGTTTATTTTAAAAAGTATACATTACACAAGAAATATGTACATTGCAAGTTTGAAGACAATCAAATTCTTTAAACGAATCTAAAGAAAAAATTTATTTTTGGTTTTTAATAAACGACATGCGCGCTCAAACGTCACCTGGTGTTATATCGTTTTCCATTAAAAATTAAAATGCGTAAATATTTACGTTATTACTAAAATAAAACAAAATATTTGAATAACTTGTATTATTTGTAACATATTTGGCCATATAAGTTTTTAGAACGTAAAAGCATTATCATTTTTGAAAGGACCTAAAAGAAATGGTACTTATTGGTCTTCCTGAGTCGCCTCAGGATCTTATATTTACTTCTGATATTTTAATTATACAATTGATATGATATTGATTCGCCAAATAGTAGTATAAGCTTTTTTAATATCAAAAAAGACGCGATACAATCTTGCTTATTTGAAAATGTTTCATGTATTCCTGACTCTAAGTCTATTAGGTTATCTATAGTGGATCGATTTTGCCTAAATCCGCTTGAATGGAGGGGAGGGGTGAAGTGAGTGGAATAAGAAGATTTTGTTGTTCTAAATTCATCTCAGCCTTGTATATACCATTTTCTCTAACACTTTACATAATTATATGTAATATTGGTTAAAGATATTGGTCGAGATGATGTCCAAGATTTCTCAGGTTTAAGAAGTGGTAGTATTATTGCTTCGAACCAAGTTGATGGGAAAACCTGCTTACTCCAGATAAAATTATAAAGGACTAGTAATAAATTTTTAAAGCTAAGGGGATACCGTCTGGTCCCGAGCTTGAATCTTTGGAAGAGTTTAAGGTTTCAGCAAGTTCTATGAAGGAAAAAGGAACGTTAAGATTGTGAATCTCATGTCCGTCGAATCCCAATATGTTTTTTACTACGTTGTTTTCATTAATTACTATTTAACTGGGAATAAGCCACAATTAAAGATAAAAATACGTTTATTGACGTTTCAATTTCCACTTCGGAAATCGTTCTCAAAATACAAACAGTAAATTAAACAAATTTTGTTTTTTGTTACATAGTGAAAAATTCTTCTAATAATTTAATTTTATCTGACTCATTTATATTGACAAATCAGACATACATTATGCATTTTAAAGTAGACGACTTTAAAATGATATTGCTAATATTGTTGAGTTGCGCTCCTGGGACGACTTTATTTATAAGATAGTTCATTCGATTACATGAAATCAACTTTAACTTGAGAATATCCGCCAGAAAAAAAATCATAGCATGTAACTGGTCTTTAAAAAGACAAACACATGACATGGTGACAGTAAAATTCACCTGTTAGTGATTCCACAGTAAATTATAAGGGAAAAAACCAGGAAAGAACCTCATAATACTATCCCGACATGGTAAGTATTTGTTCGTGCATTTAGTTTACCTTCAATAAACACCAAAATTCTGATTTTATATGTTTCGTTATTTAAAAAACATAAATGATGTATCCTCTATATGCTACTGACTTACTAATACTGGTATTTTCTTATTAATAACTTCCTCTTTCAATATTGGTAACCAGATCCTACTACATTCTGCCGAGGAATTTGCGACACAATTGGCCTCATTTAGCATAATTAGAGCAGCTTCTTTGATTTTTCTATTTTTACCATCCGTTTCTTTTAGGACTACATTTGAATTATTCCAATGAACCCTATGTTCATTATCCCATGCGTTTTTACATATTTAAGATCTATCAAAGTCTCTATTTTTAATATAAGATTAATGTTCACTTATTCTAACATTTAATGGCCTTGATGTTTCACCTAAATAAAATTGATCGCTTCCACAAGGTATTTTATAAATGCAATTCTTTGTCCTTTCTTGTTCATTGTTAGGTTTGGTTTTGGAAAAAATAGATCTCAACGTGTTTATTATTTTGAGTGTTGTTGAAATGTTGAATTTATTTCCTATCCTTTTAAGTTTTTCTGATAATCCTTTTATGTACGGTATTGTTACTTTCCTCGTATTATTCCTTGTGTATGCTGTAGGATCTTGTTCTAAGTTGTTCTGTTCTATTCGATCGATTGTTGAAAATTCCTTATTTATAAACGATAAAGGATAATCATTGTTTAATAAAACAGATGTTAACAAATGTTTCTCCTCCAAGAACGAATTTTCGTTAGAACAAGTAATTTTGGCTCTATTGTATAAGGATTTAATTATTCCCTTTTTTACATTAATATTGTGATTTGATTTGAAATTTATATATCTATCGGTGTGTGTTGGTTTTCTATACACCTGAGTCTCATATCC